ATAAGTCCGTAAAATAGCTATTCCTAGGAGCGTATATTTTTGAAAATATGTAAAAAATTTAAGAAACAATACTGATTTAAAAAAAAAAAATTTGGAAAATTTTTTCAAAACTACATTAAGCAAACAATTTTAAACTTATTTAAAATTCTAGTTTCTTTATATTTTATAGGTTTGTCTTTTTGGTATACATAATTGAAATTTACAATCCAGTTTTATTATTTTATTGTTTGTCAAAAAGTGAAATCTTGCTTTAATAAATATTCTTTTTCGAGTTTGACAAATTCTAAAATTATATGACTAGAGAAGAGATAGATATCGGAGGCATGGTGGCGCAGCGAGTTCTAATTTTTAAAATTACTGTGAAAGGAAACAAAAGTAATTATATAAAAAAAATTCAATTTAAGGAATATAGTACTTAAAATATTTTCACAATAATGTGCAATGTGTCACTCGACCCCCCTTGCTATTTAAATTTTTTGTTATTTTATCCAAACTTGAAGTAAAATTTAGTTCAGACATCCTGTTTCTAAAAGATAAAATTAAAAATTTAAAACTGTTAATTTTTTATTACACCACACCAAAAAAATAAGGGAATAAAATATTTCTTATATTTTTTGGAAATTTTTGAAAAGCTGTGAAAAATGGTCGTATCTACATTTTAAGAAAACCATTTTAAAGCTTCAAGTTTCTGGTTTTGAAGCCATTTGGCAAAAAAATGTTTTTTGAAAAAATGGTTTGGTCCACAAACTTGAAATTTTTTTTCGAAAACACTGCCTGGGTCAGATAGCTTGTTTATTCAGCTTCAGTTTTTTCTATTATTTTTACGTCAGTTTGTCGCTGAGATGTCTGACTTTTAATGAAAAAAAATTCATATAACATTCTATAACGATTATTTGAAAAAAAAAATACATTTTTTCAAATTTGTATAAAATATTTAAGAAACAATACTGACAAATTTTTGGAAAAAAAAACAACAGTAGTCATTTTTTATCTAAAAAAACAGTTTTTGCTGACTAATCGTTGCTGTTTCCGGTAAAATAGCTATTTTTAGGAGCGTATATTTGTGAAAATATGTAAAATATTTAACAATACCAATTTTTAGAAAAAAAAATTTCAAGATTTTTTTTTAATACATTAAGCAAAAAATTTTAAAAATAATTTAAAACTCTAGTTTGTTTATATTTTATAAGCCTGTCTTTTTGGCATACATAATTGAAATTTACATTAAATCCAGTTTTATAATTTTATTATTGATCAAAAACTGAAATATCGCTTTAACAAATTTTCTTTTTCGAGTTTGATAAATTCTAAAACTATATGACTAGAGCAGAGAAAACGCCGGGGGCGTGGTGGCGCAGCGTTTGGGTAAAAATTCCGGTTAAAGTGTTAAACAATGGAATATAAAATTTATTGATAGCACACTAAGTTTCCATTTGAGATTTCATTCAAAATTTTGCATCAGATTCAAATCCGTCAATGTTTTCTCCACTCGCTTCACTAGCTCGTGCTTAAAATTCCACACTCTCGTATCCATAACACTCTCACTTTTCAACACCCCACAATTTTGAACACCATACGCGCAGTCAGCTCTGTAATGTTGTAATTGCGCCAAACCCAAATCAATTTCGGTAAAATCACACTTTTTGGTACACCGAAATGGAAAATGATTATGTAACGCAATAACAAGTCTCGTGTCATGAAAACCTTTAACAAAATCCATCGGTTTGGTGTGATTCCGAGCTCGGAAAACGTGTTGTAGCATATGCATGTGTCGGGGAATCCCCTCGAACCAATCGTGTTGGTGGGAGGGGTTGTCCCAGAAGTAGACGTTTCGAGCGACGTAGGAAGTGCTATTTGGGAGGATATCCTCCAAGGTTGCCATTAATTCAACCCAAGTGTTCTCGGCCGGGATGATGACTTCATCAGTGTCTAAAAGGACGACGAATTTGAACTCGTGGAGGTGGCGGTAGAGACAGTCGTTATAAGGGATCACTTCCTGAAGCCGTCTTTCAGTTATTTTTTCACGAAAAAATTTCCCCAAAACCTTGGGGTTATTAGAAACGCTTCCGGCAACCGACAATGGAGTTACCACAACTTTCCCAAGATTTTCATAATAGTTGAGCAATTTTTTAATGTTTGGGTGGACACTAAACTCGTAGAAGTGGATTTTTTCAGCTCCTAGAAGCCACAAAAGTTCAATCCATTCAACCAAACGCTGACTCTTGTCGTCAAAAGGAAAAAACAAGCCTTTGACACACACAACAAAATTTTTTTTTGGCTCAAAATAACTCTCAAAAATTCTCAAATTATTACTCGCGTTTTCGCACGGACCCTCCACTAGAGAAACACTAAAAGGGGTCTCCCCATTGACTAGATCCACAGGACACGTGACCAAATACGGATGCTTGTATTGGTTATTATCCGCCCCCCAGTTTTTCCGAAACAACCAAAACGGAACATCACTCTCAACAATCACAGGTTTGGCCAAATTTTTGTACCAAAATTGGCAGAAGTAAGTGTTTTGGGGCTGGTACTGGTCCAAGAGTGCCAAAATCCGGACCATGGGGGCACCACGTCGGTCCAAATAGGCGCCAAAGAGGAAGAAAGTGCCAAAGGAGGTTTCCTGCATCTGCCAGTGGTTGTTGTTGATTTGGATGTTGACTAGTTGGGGGAATTTGGCACAGGTTTGGTTCAGCGATTTTGTCACTTTGGTTTCGGAGAGGTAGATTTCGGGGATGGTTCCCATGTTTATGGGTTTTTTCGTGTTGGGTGTGGGACTGTGGTGGTCGATTACCATTTGGTGGCAAAATATGATCAACAAAATGGTGGGTATTGAAAGTGCAAAGTGGATTTTTTTCAACATGGTTGACCAAATTATTTGGTACTTACACTAAAAATAAGTTTTAATAATAGCACACATTTCTGTAATAACTTTACTAATCACGACCTATCATAAAACGAACCATTTACAGTTTTTAATATCTACCTTAAGTGCTGATAAATGGTTTTTGAATAAAATTGTTGAGATAAAAATATAAAGAGTTTTTTTTATGTATATTTATACTTGTGTATCTGGGATAGATCTGTGTATACACAAACGTTATCTTATCTGAGTAACAAATCCAAAACTTCTGTTTTTTTATTATCTTGATCTATTTTGGATGTTTTGTTCTTTTGTGTTATGCTTCTTTCTCTTACACAAGAAAAAAACAATTTTCAACAAAAAATATTAATGCATTTTGCATTTTTATTTCAGTAGTGAAATGATCAAAACGGTAGTAATCCTTTATAATCCTAGTTAATCCTTAGTGAACAAATTTGAAAAACATGTAATTTTTTATGTAAATTGAGACAAAAATAACCAAATTTATTTTGGGCGATTTTCGGTAACCATTATTGCTAATAACTTCGGAATTATTGACGCTAGTCCTTTTTGTTTGGTACCGCTGGAAAGCAAATTTAATATTTTATCATATTTAAAAAAATAATTGTCCTACGTTATTGAGAAAATTTCTGATAAAGTCAAAAATATCCAAAATATTAATTCAACTATAATTTCTAAAGGATCAAGAATTTTGCAGTTTTCTCGACGCCAATCGACTTCTCGAAACATTTTACATACATATGCATAACATTTGAGGTACACTTTTGCGGCAATTTGCAAAATAAAAAGTAAAAATTTGAAATAATTATGACTGATTTTGTTCTGGAAGAATTTTAACTCTCAAAACCCCTCATGCTTTTTAATATACTATTTTATTACAAATACAGGATGCCCATTTTATTTGTTCCCGCCTGACGGAGCAAAAATAGGCAACATATTATACATTCCATAAACTATTTTATGTAAAGTATTAACTATTCTAAATCGAATAATTATAGTCGGTGCCTGACTCTCAAAACCTTCAAAAAAACAAGAAATTCAAAACTCAAATGTATGATAATGGGAACAACAGCAAGAAATTAACAAATTATTGTATTACTAGTTGCCTATTTATGAAATTTTAGGAGTGAACAGATTAAATAAGCACCCTGTATGTAATAATATATTACCTTCGTACTTTCAAAATTTTATTGTTAGCAGTATTTAAATTGTTTCATGTGACACATTTCGTGTTGTAAATATGTGGTAATCAATTTTTTATATTTCATATTCTTCATAAAATCTATTTTTGGGTTTTTTAATTTTAAAACATTAAATTTAATAATCGCGGAAAGAATTTAAGTAACGATTTTATTTAAACAATACTATTTATAACAAATAGAAAGCACAATAGCACCTACTTTTATAATAAACTATTAAAATTTAGATTATTTTTCTAAGTACTAACAATATGTATTAGTTTTTATATAGACAACACAATATACACATTTCTTCCGTATATTATGGATTGCGTAAAACAATAAAAAATATAAAAAAAATGCTCAACTTTACTTATAAAATAAAATAAAACCCAAGAAAAATTAAAAAAACTAGCCTACATTAATCTCATAAAATGTTTAAAAGGAAGTATTTTTTAATAGAGACAACACAAAATACACATCGTATTGCTGGTTGCCTAATACAAAAGACAGAAAAACAGATGCAATAGCAATTTTTTTTCTGTTGGAAAATTAATAGCACTAATAAAAGTAGAAAACGGCAAAAAGTAGAGATTGAGTAAAAGAAAAACCAAAATTTTATTATAATTCTCCAAAGTAGTAGAGTTTTATAGAGAAAAAAGACCTAAAAGTGCATGAATTTTAAGTTTAAAAAAACCTTAACCAAGAGTGCTTTGGATTTCAATTTGACACTTCTGACAGTTGGTGACATTTCGTGTTAATGTGGTTCACACTCTTCAAGAAAATTAAACAAAAACGATAGAAAAACCAGTTAAATCGAATGAGACAAACAAAATAACATCAATATTAATGCTTTTTGTGATTTTTAGACGTGTTTGGAAAAGATTTTGCAAAAAAATTAGCTTCTGGTTCAAAAACGAACTAAGTCGGCGAACAAACTAAAAAATTATATCAATTTCGATTTCATTTTCTAATTTTTTATCTTGTTTCAATGCAATATTTGAATTTTTTATGTTTTTATCTCTCAAAAAGACAAAAAAACGGCGTTTTTTAGGCAATTTTGTTGAATTTGAGGCTTAAAAATTTCAAAATGATTGTTTCTAGCTGAAACAGCATTCGAAAAAAACAAAAATAAGTAGTCATTTTCGACTCTGCTTAGTAATATTGTAAAAAACAAATAAAAATATTTTTAACCAATTTGGTGGTTTTCAATTATTTTTTCCTCGAGAAAATTTGGCGAAATTATCAAGTTAAAGCTTAAGAATTAGGTAAAAATATCAGAATAAAATCTTTTTTTATAACAATTGAAAAAACTGAGTTTTCAGCTTAAGAATCTGCTTGAACTTTCGAAAAAAAATTATTATAATTATTATCATTTAATTTTTTTTGACTTGTTTCTAACAAAATTTTGCGAAATAATTGCGTTTCTAGCTGAAAAACGTGCTAAAATTTTCAAGAAATGCAAAATTAATGTAATTTTCGACATAATTTGTTGATTTTTCAGTTCGTTTTAGCCAATCTCGCAAAAAACCCGAAATTGTGGTACAAAAATATGCTTAAAAACATTCTCGGCTTATTTGTGTCTTATTTGCTCAAAAACCAGTTAAATTGAGTGAAACAAATAAAACATCAGTGTCAATTGTTTTTGTGATTTTTTCATTTTTTAAGCGTGTTTGGACAAAATTTTTCAAAATAAATAAGCCTCTCTTAAAAACGAAGAAATAAGGGCAAAAATAACGCCGTTTTTGGTCGAATTTGTTGGATTTTGGATTATTTTTAACGAAATTGACGAAATAATTGTGTTTCTAGCTGAAAAAGTATTCGAAAAAAAACAAAAATAAATTGTCATTTTCTTAAAATCTTATAAAAAAAACAAACAAAACAATTTTTAACCAATGTGATGGTTTTTTTGAAAAAAATTGGCGAAATAATCGAGTTTCTAAAACGTGGAAAATGCTCGGAAAATAGTTTTTTTCACTTCCAAAAAATCACCAGATATTAGAATTTATACAAAAGTTTTCACCAAATTATGAAAATCACCACACCTGGCAACACTGCTTCTACAAAACATTTGCGAATCCGAGAGGATATTAATACTAAAAACTACATTTTTATGTATGTATATCCTTGGAACCCCTGAATCAAAATCAAAAGTTTGTAATAAATTAGAAATGTAATGTTTTTCATATTCGTTGAGAACTTTTTTGCTAATTAATAAAATAAATAACTAAACTGATATCACAGTCAAATTGTTACAACAACCCTAAATCCGTAACAACCCTGTCCACCCTCCTTATCAATTCCTCTTTAAAATTCCAAATTCTTGTGTCCATAACACTATTTTCTCTCATTTTATCACAATTACTAGCACTGATACCCCCAGCACAATCAGCGCGATAATGTTGAAGATGGGCTAAACTAACATTAATCGAATGGTGTTTACAACCATGCAAACATTTAAACGGAAAATGGTTGTGTAAAGCTTCAACTTGTCGCGTATCATGAAACGCCTTAACAAAATATCCAGGTTTGGTGTAGTTCTTCGCACGTATGACATGTTGCAACATGTGCATATGTCTAGGAATTTCCTCAAACCAGTCGTGTTGGTGCAAATGGTTGTCCAAGAAGTAGACATTTTGGGCCACATACGAGGTTTTATTAGGTTCAATGGTTTGCAACGTTTGGAGTAACTCAACCCAGGTTTGCTGCGCAGGGATGATGACCTCATCCGTGTCCAAAAGAACAACAAATTTGAACTCGTTTAGGTGTTTATAGAGACAGTCGTTGTAAGGGATGACTTCTTGTAATCTCCTCGGGATTGTTTTCTTGTGGAGGAAGAGAGTTTGCAACGTGGGATTATTAGAGGAGCTGTCTAGGAGCGAAATTGGAGTCACCTCAACCAATCCCAACTCTTCGTAATAGTCCAACAATCGTTTCGAATTCGGATGAACCCGAAATTCGTAAAAATTAATTTTTTCAGCACCTGAAAAGAAAATTCAGGACGTGAGACAACCCAATTTTCATACCTAGAAGGTTCAAAAGTTCGATCCATTCAACCAAACGCAACGACTTGTCACTAAACGGAAAATTCAAGCCTTTGACACACACCACAAAATTTTTCTTTTCCCCGTTTTTATCAAAAATTTTCAGTGCGTTAGTCGGGGAATCGCAGGGATTCTCCACTAAGGACACCCCAAASGGTGATCCTTCCACGGGACACTTGACCAAATACGGGTGCACCAGACCCCCTTTATCGGCCCCCCATTTGCTCGAGAACARCCAAAACGGAGTCTCACTCTCCCGAATCACTGGTTTGTCACTATTGTTGTACCAAAATTGGCACCAAAATCGCGTTTSGGGTCGGTATTGGTCATACATGGTCACAATTCGCACAAAGTCGYCCTCGCGATGGTCCAAATACGCGTTGAAGAGGAAAAACGTCCCATTGGTGGTCTTCTGGAGTTGCCAGTGGTCATTTCGGAATTGCAAGTCGAACAAATCGGGGAATTTTGCACAAGTGTTGTTTAGTTTTTTCGGTTTTTTTGCTTTGGGGGTGAAGTACAAGTCGGGGATGTTGCCGGTGTAGTTTTTGATAGGGGAGATGTAGATTTGCTTTGGCTTTTCGCTCGAGTCGAGTTGGACTTGGAGGATTTGGCGGAAAGTGTGGTATTTGGTGGTTTGGTCCAGGACTAAATTCTTGTAGTTGATAAAAGTGCAGATAATTACCAAAGTCATTAGAAAAACCAAACAGAGTTTCTTCGACATGTTTGTCTATAAATATTAACAATTTGTGATAGCCCCAAAAAAAATTTTGTAATTGATGTTAGAGAGCACTTACTTGATAGCTCGGATGAAACTAGTTAAAGAGTCTGTTCAAAATTGAGCATATCTATTTTTATCTCGGTGATAAAATTTTGGCCTTATCACAGGTTAAATCTCTGATTTGTGGTGTGTTGACACAAATTTCATATTGTTGACATAATTTTCATATTACGTGGAAATAATGAAGAACAATATTTTCAGAATTGTTTTATTGCTGCTAAGTGTGTTTACAAATTACTTTASTTAATCTTAAAGACGCATTAAACAATGAAAATAATCCTTTAGAAATCCTTCACAGACTTCGAACATCCCAAAAAAATCAACCATAAACCTTCCTTGTCGCAAAATCCCACCAAAACCTAAAAAATTCTCCCAAATCCCTCAGATTCAGTTCAGCTTTATGTAAAAAAAAATTAAATTGTTATACGACGACAGCATTAAAACAGGTAAAAATACTTAGAAATCTCCCAAAATCCTTGACAAACTTCAAAACGTTGAGGAAATCTACCAAAATTTTTTGTGCCCTTTAGATAATTATTTAATAATTTGTGCATTTTTACATCATTGCAAAGGAAGATTCCCAAAAATCCCATTAAAATCTAAAAAAAGTAAATACAAAATTATTGTATAAATACTTCAATGAGAAATCTTTAAAAGTCCTGGCAACCTTCGATAGACCAAAATTTTTTCAAGCCCTTTAAACAAGAAGTAACTTAGAAGTTTTGGAGCTTTTTTACTTAGAGAAAAATCTCCTTAAACGTCCCACCGAATTCTAAATAATCCTCTAAATTTCTTAAAAAATATTGATATTCATTTCAGTTAGATAATTAAAAGTGCAAATAAATCTTCAGAAATCCCAAAAGTCGTAATGTAATTTTTTTTATCGGATGCTTAATTTCTAATAACAACAATTCCTAAAACATTTAAGTGTTTTTTTTTAATCTCAAAAACAATTTGTTGTAATACTTTGATACTTTCAGGAATTTTTAGACAATAAAAAATATTTTCAAAGCTTACTGAAGCATTTGAATACATTGCACCCAGAATCCCGCAAATTCCTCACAATATCCTGCTAAATACACAAAAATTGTTAGTCTACCAAATCAAAAATTTGTTACATAATTATGTTTTGAAGCTTTTAGATTTTACTATGCAACTTTCAAAGCCCTAAAAAATTACTGAAAATCTTCAAAAAATGTAAAACTGTTAATAAACTTTATTAATCTTTAAAAATTTTAAGAAGTCTCCAATCAAATTTTTTTGAATTTCATTTTGCATATTTTTCCACAACTTTCTAAAGTTTTTTTTTGAAACTGTTTTTCGGTTTATGTACTTTTAATAATTAATTTGGTAGTTTTCGATTATTTTTTCTTCGAAAAAATTTAGCGAAATAATGAAGTTAAAGCTTAAGAGTTAGGTAAAAATATCATAATACGAGTAATTTTTTTTATAACAATTTAGTGATTTTTGACACTCTGTGACAAACTCTCGCAAAAAAACAGAGTTTTCAGCTTAAAAATCTCTTTGAACTTTCAAAAAAAAAAGTAATTATTTCCATTTTCGTACTAATTCTGTGTGTTTTTGGCTTGTTTCTAACAAAATTTTGCGAAATAATTGTGTTCCTAGCTGAAAAACGTGCTGAAACTCTTAAGAAACGCAAAATTAATGTAAATTTTCGACATAATTTGTTGATTTTTCAGTTCGTAATTGTAATTTTTAATCCCAAAAACAATTTGTTGTAATACTTTGATACTTTCAGGAATTTATTAGACAATAAAAAATATTTTCAGAGTTTGCTGAAGTATTTGAATGCATTGCACCCAGAATCCCGTAAATTCCTACTAAACATCCTACTAAATACACAAAAATCACTAGTCTACCAAATCAAAAATTTGTTACATAATTATGTTTTGAAGCTTTTAAATTTTACTATGCAACTTTCAAAGCCCTAAAAAAATACTGAATATCCTCAAAAAACGTAAAAGTGTTAAAAACTTTATTAATCTTTAAAAATTTGATGAAGTCTCAATCAATTTTTTTTTGAATTTCATTTTGCATATTTTTCCACAACTTTCTAAAGTTTTTTTCGAAACTGTTTTTCGGTTTATGTACTCATAATTATTGATATTCAATACAGTTAGGTAATTAAAAGTCTATATAAACACAAAATACAAAATAATTCCTAAAATAAGTTGTATTACTTGTACTTAGTTATACTCTTCGAGCAAGCTTTAAAATTACCTACAAGTTTTTCTAGAAATTCTCAAAAATTCCATAAATGATCATAAATGATAATTTGATCCTTTTCCTACAAGAATCAGTTAGAAATCTCTAAAAATCTTTAAAAAAATCCGAGAAATAATTTTACATATTTATTAGAAATTTATTTTCAAATAAAAGATTTACTGAATGATTATATTGAATAATTATTTAATTAGATTAGATTAGATTGAATAATTRTTTTTCCTATTGCGAATAATATTAATTTACTTGTATATTTTAATAGGCATTACAGCAAAAATCCCAAACAATTCCTACAACACCCACTAAAATCCTACTTACCAAATCCAAAATTTCTTATATAGTATGTAATTAAGTATGTCTTGAAGCTTGGATTTTACCGATGCAAATAATTTTTAAAAAGTAATACCAAATACTGTTTGAAAGCCCTTAGAAGTTCCTAAAAATCCCCMAAAAAACAAAAAAAACTTCTAAGATATCTCCAATTAAAAAGACTTTTGTATTTTAGAATTATCTTGCATGTTTTTTCACAAATTTCAATATTTTTTATTTTTCGGTTTAAGTACTCATAATTTTTTTTTGCTTTTTAACGTATTACTTACATGAACTTGTCACTATATCTTAGGATAACAAGCTATGAAAACCCTCAAAAACCCTTAACACTCCCAAGGAATTAAAAAAACACGAAATTTTTTAAAAATCGTTTATTCCTCTTAACTGTTTATTTTAAATAACTTACATAGAATAAATAGTTTAGCCTTACGTCTACTTAACCCTAAAGGCACAAAATGCAAAAAGTCGCTTACCACAGCTATATACAATCGAGAGGTCACAAAACCTACATAAAAATGCAACCAAATTGAGCAAAAAAAACCCTCCATGGCATCCAACAATTTATCACAATTTTCTGGTCCTCTCAGGAACTTGAATTGAGCACTTAATCACCGTTTACTATCTTTCTCCTGATTGACAAAATATCCCAAAGTCCTCAAAGTACTCGTCACGCGACTCACTAAAGGTTGTTTAAACTTCCAAATGGTTGTATCCATTACACTAGTCTTTCGATACTCCTCACAGCTCTTTTTTAACGTTTTAACACAGTCGGCACGATAATGGTGCAATTGAGCATCACTAGTCTCTATAGGATAGGAAGTGCAACCACTACCAAGACACGAAAGCGGGAAATGGTTGTGTAAAGTCAACACTTTTTCCGTATTGTGGAAACACTTGACGTATTGGCCGGGTTTGGTGAAGTTCTTTGCACGGTAGACGTGTTGAAGCATGTGCATGTATTTGGGGATTTCCTTAAACCATCCATGGTTGTGTAATAAATCGTCCAAAAAGTACACATTTCGGACGTTGTAAGACGCTCTTTCCTCCTTGTTGATTTTGAGGGCTTTGGGCAAAACCTTCTCCATTAAACCCTTCCAAGTGGTTCCCTCAAGAGGCATAATCACCTCATCAATATCCAACAATGCTATATACTTGTACTCGTACATATGCTTGTAAAAACAGTCATTATAAGGGATTAGTTCGTTCTGTCGCTTGTGATTGGTTTTCTTAGTGAGGTACAAGTGTTGGAAAGACGGGGCATTTGGTTGCCCCCCTGCCAAATTAATCGGAGTTACATGAACCTTCCCTTCTTGTTCGTAATGCCTCAATACTTTACTGATATTTGGATGGACTTGTAATTCGTAGAAGAAGACTTTATCAGCCCCTAACAAGTTCAAAAGTTCAATCCATTCAATCAAACGGACTGATAAGTCCTCGTGGAGGAAGTCCAAACCTTTGACACAAACCGCAAAGTCCTTTTTCTGTGATGGTTTCTCGAAAATGACCCGTAAATTGTTAGTTGAGTTGTCACAAGCCTTCTCAACTAGTGATATACTTTGGGGGATTTTATCCCTGTAATGTTGGGGGATCACACAAGCTGTCAAGTACGGTTGGTAGATCCCTTGCTTGTAGTTCCCCCATTTYTTGTACCAAATGTATTTATACTCGAACGATTTGGTTATAACCGGTTCTTTTTTCCCGTCGAACCAAAACTGGCAGTAGGTTACAACCGTCGGTTCAATTCGGTCGATCATCCCTAGAATCCTCACRGTTGGACCTAACCGATTATTAGCTCGTTTGTCCAAATAAGCCCCAAATAGTTGAAATGTCCCATTTGAAGTTCGCAACGTCTGCCAGTACAAATTGTTAAATTCCAAGTCGAACATGCTGGGAAATCGGGCACAAGTGTTGTTCATCCCCATTGGTTTGTTCTTGTTCTTGTTCCAGTAGATGATAGGGAGGTTGGGCATGCGTTTTTGGATGTCTTCGACTAGTTTGTCTTCGGATAGTGATGGACTTTTGTCKACGAATGGTTCAAGGTCGTTGGTTTCGGTCGTGGAGTCGGCATGGCGTGTGAGAGGGTCGAGCCGTTTCTGGAGGAGGAAACGGCTGTTGAGGTGAGGGACGGTCATGTCGAGTTTGATGGGTCGGAATTGGATTATCGTGAAGATGATAATGCCGATTGCCATCACTTGGATGAACATTTTGGTGATGAAGCGGCCTCCACACTTCATTTTGGCGGCTGAAACAAGAGGAAGAAAAGTGAAGAAGTTGTATGTTAAGGAAGTTTTAGGACGCAGTCTGAATTTTGACTCATTTCTAGTAATTAAAATTGATAAAAATCAATAAAAACTTTAAGAATCTATAAAAATTGCTATTGCATACAAATTTTTATTCAAAAATTTTAGAAAACTTGAAGAAATCTCGAAAAAGCGAAAACAAAAACAAATATTATAAATAATGAGGAAATTTCCCGACTATCCCAAAAATCCCTATAACTCCCAAAAATTTCACGAAATTAAGTAATACATGATCAATAAAAGAATGAGAAATTTCCAAAAAAAGTCCT